TGCTTTCCAAAATACTCCAGACACAATTGTCCAACGGATTGGTATTCGGAGATTTTGGTGGCCATTGTGCGCTGGAAATGAATCGAGGAACTCATTTTGTAATCATTCTTAGATGGCGCGTGCAATGGTGCTGAGTTCTGTTGGAATGTCCAAGGTCGTACCCAAGGCTTAAATACACCCTCCAGAATATGTTCGCGATAATATTCGGCATTTATTCTGATGCCACGGTCGATTAATACGAGCGGAGATCGAACATCGGTTGTTGTGGCGGCCCACACCATCACCATGGCCGGCGCTTGAGTTCTGGTGGCCAACAGAAGGTGTACATTTTTCAGCTGACCTCTTTGGCAAGTAAACTCGATCATTTTGTTTGTTTACAAACTGCTGAACAACGAATGTTTTCTTATCGGTGTGGAGAAAACCAAATTCGGCAGTTCACCCACTTTCGGCCAAGCGAAGCAACTCTTTAGCTCTTTTGAGTCTTTTTTTCCGTTGCGGTTTAAGTTCTTGCACTTTTTGGAATTTCAATGACTTTACCCCGAGCTCATTTTTCGATATTTGCCAAATGGAATATTGCGATATGTTCAGCTCACGAGCCATTTTCGGCCACTGCGACGCGGGTTTCGATCAAGTCGCTTCTTTTCTTTTCGAAACATTTCTGCTGATGTTGCTGCGTTCTTCCATACACTTCCTTGACGTCGGGCTACGCTACCAGTATCACGGTAAAGAGCGATGGTACGAAACACAAAAGATTTATTCACATTTAAATGCTGTCGAGCTTTTACGATATCCACATGTGGTTTTCCAGCCAAATATAAAGAAGTCACACTATCACGCTTGAATTCCGTCATGAATACTTTTTTTCTGGAAAATTCTCAACAAAATATTTTTGTACGCTTGTAAACAATATAATGAGCTGTCACTGGAATAATTTTAACAGCTGGCGGACGAGTGGCTTAGAAATGACAGCAGTCTGAAGTTGGTTGCTGTTTTTTCATCTCAACCTGTAGGTCACAGAAGACTTCAAAAGTCTACCTTCTACCTAAAAGTGAGATATTCAAAAATAAAATAAAAACACATTTTAGGTTTAGGTTTTTAGCCGTACTTTGTGCGAGTTTATAAGAAAATCCCCTATAAAGCATCATTTTAGTAGGACGACATCAAAGACAAAAAAGTTCCTCATGACTATGAGTCACCAAAGACAAGAAATTTCAATATACTATGGATATCAAAAAATATTCCCAAAAAAAAAGAAACAAATAAAAATATTTTCATTTTTTTTTTTTTTTTTTTTTTTTGATATTTTTTCCTCAAATTTTTGTTCTTTGAGTTGACACCTCAAAGTACCATAAAATTTCATTTTGGGAAAAAACTTCTAAAGGAGGAAATATTCGACACCAAATTTCGCTATAAATCTCAGAATAAACTACATATCTAAGAGTAAAGGTTTTTGAGAGAATTACATTCCAAATTAAATTTATTGCAAGTAAAAATTATATGTTTTTACGCCAAAATTTAACATAAATCCATTCCAAGTCAAAATCTCCCCTAGGACTTAATTTTTTGGGGAAAGACTCAAAGGAGGAATTATCTTTGATCAAATTTCATTGTGAGTCCCTGAACAAAGAAATTTGGAATACTTAATATTAACCTTAAAAAAGTGCCATCAATTTTGGTTTTAAAATTAAAAAAATTTAATTTTTTTAATTATATTTTCCTCGTTCTTTTTTCGAGTTAACGGCTGAATGTAACAAAAGTTTCATTTCGGGAAAAAACTTCTAAAGGAGGAAATATTCTATACCAAATATAACCATAAATCTCAGAATAAACTACATATCTAGGTGTAATGGTTTTTGAGAAAAATACATTCCAAATTAAATTTATTGCAAGTAAAAATTATATGTTTACGTTTTTACGCCAAAAAAGTCAAAATCTCCTCTAAGACTTAATTTTTTGGGGAATGATTCAAAGGAGGAATTATTCTTGATCAAATTTCATTGTGAGTCTCTGAACAAAAGATATTGGTATACTTAATATTAGCGTTCAAAAAGGGTCATCAATTTTGGTTTGAACATTGCGTAAATGTTTAGTATTATTTTTTACAATATTTTTCAAGTTCTTTTTGAGTTGATGCCTGAGAGTAAACTAAAGACTAAGTAAAATTCATATTTTGGGGGAATGTCAAAAAAAGAAATATTCTTGATCAAATTTCTTTGCGAGTCTCTGAACAAAAGAAATAGGTGTACTCAATATAAACCTCTAAAATCGTGTCATCAATTTTGATTAGAAATTTACGAAAATATTTTGTCTTTTTTTGACAACATTTTCCTCGTTCTTTTTCGAATTGATGCATGAAAGTAACTTAAAATTTCATTTTAGGCAAAAAGTGTAAATGGAGGAAATATTCTACACCAAATTCACTATAAATTTCGGAAGAAACCATATAACTAGTCTCAATAGATTTCAAGAAATTTACATTTCAAAAGTATATATTGTAAGTGAAAAATGTGTGTTGATGTTTTTTAGTTGTAATTTAATAGGGTTCTACTCAAATTCAAAATCTCCCATAACATTTCATTTTTTTGGGGGAGTGTCAAGGAAAGAAATATTCTCGATCAAATTTCATTACGAGTCTGTGAACAAAAGAAATAGGTATACTCAATATAAACCTTTAAAAAAGTGTCATCAATTTTTGTTTCAAATTTGCAAAAATATTTCGTCATTTGTTGAAAATATTTTCCTCCCCCTTCTCAAGTAACTTCAATTTTCATTTTAGGCAAAAATACTAAAGTAGGAAATATTCTACAACATATTTCACTTAGAAGCTTGGAAGCTTGGAAGGTCGCTATGCACCAGATCCCAATAATTATTTATTTGCGCCACTTCCGTCGAGGGGCCACGTTAGACCACAACTGCTTAAAACAAACAAAACACAATCATCTTTAGCAAATGTTGCTTATAATTATTACTCATCCAGTTTAAAAAACCCACATGTTCGGAAACGTTTTTTTTTTTTTTTTGTTATCGAGATTTTTATTTTATTTTGTTTTTTATTCTCTATTTATGGATGATTTATTTATAAGTAATGTATGAATACTATACTTATAATAGAATCTTATAAAATGTGATGTAAGTATCCGATTGTCTTCAAATTACACACATCCCAATATTTTTATAAACCCAAGATCTGGTGGTAAGATGAAATATATCGGTCAACTCCTTCTGGTACCACCCCCACAAAAGATCAAATTTTTCAAAAAATATATTTTTTTTTCTGCAAAAAAGGCAAGCAATAACCTAATGTTGCTCCAATTTTGCAAATCCTAATATTTGCATCAGTGCTAGGTCAGATGTGAAAATGGACAATATGCGTCCACTCCACAAGAAGTACCTGCCCCACAAAAGCTCAAAATGTTAAATATCCACGAAGCTCATGAAAAACGAAATTAATATCCGATTCCGTTCAAGAGTTGATACACCTCAATATTTCAATCAACACAAAGATCTGTTATAAAGATTGTAGAGACCGGACCATTTCTTTTACTTCCTGCCCCACATAGGGTTCAAGATTTTGAAAAACAAAAAAAAACACGTAAAAAAACGGAATAAGCATCCAACTCTCCTCATATTTCACACATACAAACATTTTTGCTAATACAAGATCTGTGGTGAAGATGCTACATATCTGCGAACCCCTTCTGGTACCTCACCCACATAGAGTCACAATTTTCTATGCACTTTTATTTGTCATAAATTACAAAAAAACTCAGCGATTCTCTATAACTTGCTATATCTATATATCTCTCAACCAGAATCCTGTGATGAATATGGAATTTATTATTTCCCATAAATTGGCTATAAATGTTCGATTTTCTTATAATATTAGAATATTAATATTAGATGAAGCATAAAAATAGAATACTTCGGTCGAATATATCTGGTAAGTCACGCACATTTTAACATTTTCTAAAAATTATCAAATATCTCATGTAAAGTGAAGGAAGTTACCAAGATAGTCCAAACCTGGCACGACGCTATATTTATATCATATTTGTTTATGTCCGATACAAAATTAACAATTCTGGTCCATTCTTTTAAAACACGCTCCGTAGAGGGTCAAGAGTTACAATAATCATAAGAGAAGTCAAAATATTTTTAAATGATCAAACATTGGCTGAGGGTATACATCTATCGGCAAAATCGACCGATACTTCTTAACTTTTTTTTAAATTTATTACTTTTTTCAGTTTGTAAGAATTTCTAAAACCTCCACCAGGCGCACAAAAAGTGCCAAAATGATTTCATGTAGAATCAAGTAATTTTTATGCTCAATTCCAAAAGCCGGCTTTTTATTTTTTCAGTACCATTCAGTAGCGACACCAACATTATATTTCAAAATGTTTGCAGCTCCCGCCGTTCACTCAAAACCATATTGGAGCAAATTTTGGTAACTTGGCAAATATTTTCAAAACACAAGTCTCTGTATCCAGCCTACTTCCCAAACGCAAAACGCAGATTTTACCTCGGGCAATAAATTTAGTGCATTTTAGTACTTTTTCAAAGCTAATTGTTCGAATTTGGAAAACCCTACTTGGGTTCGTTCTTCCTACCAGCATCAAAGACGTTCCTTCAAATTCCAGATTTCCCGCTCTATTCCATCGACAAATATCAAATTTAATTAAGTATTTTGCGTAGTTTTGTAGGACATATTTTCCGTGACCTTATTATCAAATTCGGATTTCCAATTCCATCCCTTCCGCACATACCGAATTTAGTACCACTTAGTATTTTTTCGGACCCTTTTAGTACTCACTACGTCTCAAATTAAAGGTTTCCAAAGTTGAGCGGTAATTTTTGCAGACAATTGAAAAACTTGAAAGTACTCCCTATCAAGACCCTTATCCCACCCTTTCATTCTATGGGGTGTCAACCTTCCCACATGTGTTCTTACGTAACTAGTGGTCATTTTTTATACATAAAACCAGAACAGCATAAATAAATGTTTTTGGAGAATTCAAACTTTATTTCTGGATAATATCACATTGCATTTTAATTCTGCAGGGTATTGTCGTGAATAATCTATTATAGTATATTTGATACTACTCATAGTTGCGTCGAAGTCGCTCCTCAATTTTCTGCAGTCTGCGAAAAAAAGAAATAAATACATATAGGATGAGATAAAAAAATGCAAGAAAGTCAGCTGCCATAATTTTTAAATTTTACATATATACAGGGTGAGATAAAAAAAACTGCAACACAGTAAAACGCAATAATTTTTACCTTTCTTTTTTGAATTTTATTGAATGAAAGCAAAAAATGTCGGAAAATGAGGTTCCTCGCTTCATTTCCAGCGCACAATGGCCAACAAAATCTCCGGATACCAATCCGTTGGACTATTGTGTCTGGAGTATTTTGGAAAGCTAGGTTAGCACTAAAAAATACCAAAGTGTCGATCATCTCAAGCAAGCCCTTAGCAACTTTCGGACAGAGTGTGACGGTTTCATTGGCCGTTTGAAGGCCATAATTCGTGCCAAAGGTGACCAATTCGAACAAATCTAATCTTATTCTAAAATTTGATGCTATTTCCGACATTTTTTGTTTTCATTCAAAAAAATTTAAAAATTATTAAAAAAAATATTAAATATTTTTATCTCACCCTGTATAGCTTGCTTTTTCTTAACTTTCTAATAGCTCTTAAAAAATCACCCTTCAATCCGTCCGTTTAACTTACCCAGTGTAAATCCACATATTTGTATTTTCCGCAAAAGTTTTGGGAATTTCTCATGATGGATTAGACGATGGACATCCGTACAACTCTCCAGGTGGACGGACAGATGCAATTGCAGTTGCGGATTGATGGAGAACATATCGAACCAGAAACCTAGTGTCGCTTCATCGCATGATACCAAATTGAAAATCATGAGATTTTCAATGTTTGTCATGACGGGTGGCGGTGGTATTGAGTCCGAAGACCTGATTTGTTGGACTTTTATGTACCGTAATAAAGGCAATTCTTGCAATATGCTCATTAAATAAAACCATTGATTTGGCAGGATGAGATGAAGAGATATTCTCTGTAAATTCCGTAAATTTAGAAGGGTGTCCAACGCCAAATGTTGGCCAGCCATATCGAGGGTGTGCAGGTTTTGGCAAAACTTAAGTGAGCGAATCGTTATGAAATTAATGCCGATGATAAAACCTGTACTCGGGTGTAATGAGAGATTCTGTAATGCAGAATTCTTTGCAAATGGCTCACGAAATTGGTCCATATCAAGGCCTTCGATGTCGAGCCTCTGTAGATGGGAGGAAATTTGTATATCTCGAATTGTTTTAATTCCAAACGGAGTTCCGACAGAGACAAATTCAATTAGCCGGGGCTTGGAATGCTCATGCAGGAATTGTTGTAATTCGTCAAGGGATAGTTCCGCACAATGTCTCAGGTGGAGTGTCTCAAGATTTGGTGGTAACTTTAGGTAGGACATTAAGCTAAAATCGCTGTATTCTATTGTCAACCGGTTGAGTTTTTGTAGAGCCAGCATTTCACTTGAGAATCTACCTCGTAATGAAATGGTTAACACTTCCAGATTTTCAAACTTACTCAAAAGCGTAAGCATTTTATTATCAATACGCTGTTCGCTTATGGTTAGTTCCCTAAGGGCGGAATTTTGGCCATGAGGCTTAAGAGAATGTGAGCGTGCTGATATCTGCGGGGAAAGCCCTAACTCCAAAATTTCCAAAGGAAGTTGAGTGGCAATTTTCCAAAAAGCTTTCAACGAAACAGTAATATGTCGTAGTCGTAGTGTTTTCAGTTTTACAAGGCGTAACAATATCTGGATTTTTGCCCCTGGCTGATCCTCATCAAAATCCATTTGTAGATCCTCTAGATCTGGCAATCTACTTACTAGCTCACCAATGGAACCGCCGCCGTTCGCTACATGGCAATTTAATTGACAACATTTCGTAGAAATGACACTGGCAGCACCGTGAGGTCTGTAGATAATTCGCTCACACTGTCGCCATAAAAATGCAGAAATGACAAGAGATCAAAACGTGTCGGAAGCAATTTACGATCTGTGTCCGTTGTTCCGTTCGATACTATGTATACGTCATCGAACTCAATGAGCTTCAATTGGTCATAATCCATTGGCCATATGTGATGGCGAAATATTCGGCCCAGATCTGCATTGACTTTTGCCAGTCTCAGTTGATCGCCAAAGTTCAAAAAGTTATAAATGTAAATCATCACATCATCGTTTGAAGCGATTCTATCGAAACAATGACTTGCAGCCATATTGAGTGTTTCGATCTAAGTTGGCCGTGTTAATGCACCGGAGTCATTTAAGCTACTAAATGAAAGAGAGCGGGAGAGATTGTCCCATTAGGTACTTTTTTGAGTATTGTGTATAGCTGCTCTGCTGCGACGAGTGTGGTCAATTGCAGTGATTTTATTAAAATTTCCAGAAAAACGTAAATTTTCAAATTGGCAAAGAATGAATTTTTGCACGACACGCTTCCACCCAAGAAAAAAATAAAAACTGTCCGAACTAACGTCAAGTAAAGAATACTGTTTGGTGCGGAATTTCTTCAGAAGATATCATTGGCCCTCTACAAAATATGTAAATGTAAACGTTTGCAAACGTTTCCGTGCGAAATGAAAAAACTGCAACCAACTTCAGACTGCTGTCATTTCTAAATCACTCGTCCGATAGCTGTTAAAATTATCTCCGTGACAGCTCATTATATTGTTTACAAGCGTGCAAAAGCATTTTGGTGAGAATTTTCCAGAAAAAGTGATTAGTGATGGAATTCAAGCGTGGTAGTGTGATTTCTTTATATCTGGCTGGAAAACCGCAGGTGGCTATCGTTAGAGCACTCCACCATTTAAATGTGAATAAATCTTTTGTGTCTCGTTACCATTTACATGATACTGGAGCGTAGCCCGACGTCAAGGAATTGGGCGGAACAGCAGAAACAACAACATCAGCAGAAATGGCTCGAAAAGTAAAAAAAGCGACTTCATCGAAACCCACGTCGCAGTTGCCGAAAAATGGTTCGTGAGCTGAACATATCGCAATATTCCATTCGGCAAATATTGAAAAATGAGCTCGGGGTAAAGCCATGAAAATTCCAAAAAGTGCAAGAACTTACACCGCAACAGAAAGAAAATAGACTCAAAACAGCGAAAGAGTTGCTTCGCTTGGCCGAAAGTGGTGGACTGCCGAATTTGGTTTTCTCCGTCTTCGATGAGAAGACATTCGTTGTCCAGTAGTTTGTAAGCAAGCAAAATGATCGTGTTTACTTGCCAAAGAGGTCAGCTGATAATGTGAACCTTCGGTTGGCCACCAGAACTCAAGCGCCGGCCATGGTGATGGTGTGGGCCGCCATAACAGCCGATGGTCGCTCTCCGCTCGTATTAATCGACCGTGGCATCAGAATAAATGCCGAATATTATCACGAAAATATTCTGGAGGGTATATTAAAGCCTTGGGCACGCAAACATTTTGGCCGCACACAATGGCCACCAAAATTTCCGGATACCGATCCGTTAGATTATGTGTCTGGAGTATTTTGAAAAGAAAGATTGGCACTGAAAAATTACAAAAGTGTCCATTAAGCAACCGCTTCACCGGAAATGGGCCAAAATGCCACAGAGCAACATTCGGGCAGCGTGTGACGGTTTCATTAACCGTTTGAAGGCTATAATTCGTGCCAAAGGTGACCAATTCGAACATATCTAAACTTATTTTAAAATTTGATGCTATTTCCGACATTTTTTGTTTTCATTGAATAAAATTTAAAAAAAATCGGTGAATAATGTCGCTAAAATCATCAAAATACCGAATATCGGGAGGTACCGTTATATGGGGATATACGAAGACGAGGACCTGGACAGACAATTTTCTGTCTTAGGCTGTAGTATCCATTACGAACTTCAAATAGGAAGTTTGAAATAATTCCGGTAAATACTGTGGCTAAAATCATGAAAATACCGAATATCGGAAGGTAGCGTTATATAGGGGCTATACGAAGACGTGGACCTGCATATACAATCTCCTGCCATGGGCTGTAGTACCCATTACGAACTTCAATTACCGAATTTGAAACAATTCCGCTGAATAATGTCTCTAAAATCATCAAAATGCCGCATATGGGGAGGTACCATTATATGGGTGCTATACGAAAACGTGGTCCTACATGACTCATTTGCGAACTTAACCTGCCTGCCGGTAAACTATGCATGTATTCAAAATTTTAGCTTTCTATCTCAATTCGTTCGAAGATAGCGTGATTGCAACAGAAATGAGGACAGACGGACATTACTAGGTCGTCTTAGAATTTACGCTGATCCAGAATATATATATATATATATATATATATATATATATATATATATATATATATATATATATATATATATATATATATATATATATATATATATATATATATATATATATATATATATATATATATATACTTTGTAGGGTTATTCGAAATATTTCCAGGAGTTACAGACAAAGCTAATATACCCTCCATGGAATGGTGGAGGGTATAAAAACCACTCTACAAAACTTAGTTGTACTCATCCTCCACTTTCCGTCGCACACTGTAACGTTAGCGCAAACACTTCCCCTCTCGAACTCTTTTCCAATCGATTTTTTGAAAATCTCAACATATTTCAATATTTCAAGTCAGACGCACAATATATCGCATGAAACAAGAGAAGTGGCTCTTGGGTAAATAAAACACAAATGTTTACAAGTCTTTCGTTCCAACAACGAATTTGTATTGAAAAAGGCTCTGCAAAGCATCCTCTAGCTGCATGTTGCCGCAAGTGTTTTTGTATGTTTGTGGTGTGATTGAGAAAATATCGCACATTTGTCGTGTAATCCTTACGCAAACATTGCACATGGTATATGTGTGTGTTTCAAAATATTCTATACCTTTGGTGGAGGGTAATTTGTCCGATTGTTAGTTGTATCGTCGGATCGCTAAAAATGTCTAGTTTATTTGAACATGTGTCATTTGAATTACATGCAGATACACACACACACTTTACACATGTACGGAATTTGCTTAGAGCAGTGATTGTAGACATTTGTTTCTGCAGTCGTTCTTCAATTTTCGAAATTAATTCTCTCTCTTCAGATCAATATTTGCACTTATTTTGAATTTACTTTTTCAATTCGTTTTTATGAACAGTTGCTTGAATTTGATTTCAGATGGAATTTCTATTCAGGCAGATGACAATGATGAGCATATATGTATAGGGTGGCCCAGAGGGACCGAAGTGGTGCGAATTCCTTATTACTTTTTATACCCTCCACCATAAATAGTAGGAAGGGTATGTTAAGTCTGTCATTCCGTTTGTAACACCTCGAAATATCCATTTTAGACCCCACAAAGTACATACAGGTTGAGATGAAAAAACTGCAACCAACTTCAGACTGCTGTCATTTCTAAGTCACTCGTCCGACAGCTGTTAAAATTATTCCAGTGACAGCTCATTATATTGTTTACAAGCGTACAAAAGCATTTTGGTGAGAATTTTCCAGAAAAAAAGTTATTCGCGATGGAATTCAAGCGGTGTAGTGTAATTTCTTAATATTTGGATCGAAAACCACAAGTGGCTATGGTTAAAGCACTCCAGCATTAAAATGTGAATAAATCTTGGTGTCTCATACCATTGCTCGTTACCGTGATACTGATAGCGTAGCCCGACGTCAAGGAAGTGGACAGAAGACATCAGCAGAAATGGTTCGAAAAGTAGAGAAGCGACTTGATCGAAACCCGCGTTGCAGTGGCCGAAAAATGGCTCGTGAGCTGAACATATATTCCATTCGGGAAATATTGAAAAATGAGCTCAAATTCCAAAAAGTGCAAGAACTTACACCACAACGGAAAGAATGTAGTCTCAAATGTAGTCTCGCTTCGTTTGGCCGAATTTGTTTTTCTCCGATGCGAAAACTTTCGTTGTCCAGGAGTTTGTAAACAAACAAATAGATCGTGTTTACTTGCCAAAGAGGTCAGCTGAAAATTTACCAGCAGAACTCAAGCGCCGGTCATGATAATGGTGTGGGCTGCCATAACAGCCGATGGTCGCTCTCCGCTCGTATTAATCGAAAGTGGCATCTGAATGAATGCAGAATATTATCGCGAAAATATTCTGGAGGGTGTATTAAAGCCCTGGGCATGCAAACATTTTGGCCGCAGACCTTGGACATTCCAACAGGACTCACAACAGCACCATCGCACTCAGCACGCTCCACCCAAGATTAGTTACAAATGAGCATCTTCGCTTAATTTCCAGCGCACAATGGCCACCAAAATCTCCTGATACCAATCCGTTGGACTATTGTGTCTGGATTATTTTAAAAAGCAAGGTTGAACCTAAAGTGTCGATTATCTCAAGCCAGCGATTCGTGGAGAATGGGCCAAAATACCGCCGAGCAACATTCGGGCAGCGTGTGACGTTTTGACCGTTTGAAGGTCATAACTCGTGCCAAAGGTGACAAATTCGAACAAATCTAAACTTATTTTAAAATTTGATGCTATTTCCGACATTTTTGCTTTCATTCAATAAAATTTAAAAAAAAAAATAAAAAATTATGCCGTGTGACTTTGTTGCAGTTTTTTATCTCATCCTGTATATTCTTGATCAGCGGAAATTTCTGTTGTAATCACGCTAGAGTCAAAACGAAACAAGATATGAAGCTGAAATTTTGCACAGATCTGTCTTTTGTCTCCAGGCAGGTCAGGTTCGAAGATGGTATATCGGTCCACGATGTCGTATAGCCCCCATATAACGGTACCTCCCGATATTCGGTATTTTAATGATTTTAGGAACAATATTCACCGGAGTTGTTTCAAATTTCGTATTTAGAGTTCATAATGGGTACTACAGCCTATGACATGAAATTGTTTATACAGGTACACGTCTTCGTATAGCCCCAATATAACGGTACCTCCCGATATTCGGTATTTTGAGGATTTTAGCAACATTATTCATCGGAATTGTTTAAAATTTGGCGTTTGAAGTTCGTAATGCTTACTACAGCCTATGACAAAAAATTTCGTTTGCAGGTACATGTTTTCGTTTATCCTCCATATAACGGTGCCTCTCGATATTCGATATTTTTAATAATTTTAGCAACATTATTCATTGGAACTTTTTCAAAATTCCTATTTTGCTATTACAAAAAAATTCGTAAATAGGTCTTCGTATAGTCCCCATATAACGGTTTCTATTTAAGTGGTAGTTTTCAGATTTTTTTTTTTTAATTTTTTTCTTTCCAAATGGTGGAGGCTATTAAAAGTTCGGCCCGGCCGACCTTAGCTGTT